TAGGATACTTTTTATCCCGGAAATCATCCCTTAAGGGGGCTTAAAGTTTGTATTGGGAAGCAAGCTAGGGACAAACCCGACCGAAACGAGCGTGAGTCGCTAGGTAGAGTATATATTTGTTACATAGTTACATTCCTGATCTAAACCAAGAATTCTGACTACTCTACATAAAAGATATCTATATTAAACAGTTGTTATGCAATTTTTTTACGTGGAAAGATAACAAGAAAGGCCTGTGTTTAGTTAAGTGTTACAAAGAAGTGTGGTAATTACAAGTTTAAATAACTAAGCATGACACTTATAGTATGTATAATGTAGATCTACTTGCAATAGGTATAAAAACTTCGTTCGTTTAAGTTACCAATGACAAATAGTATGGAAGATAGTGTAATATTTTACCGACCAATTTCCTTTGTCTATTCTTCATTCTACGTGGCGAAGTAATCTGCTCAACTGGCACGCTTTGAAACCATTAACAAGAAAATTGAATTAAATTATAACATTTTACATGGTCATTTTATATCGCACGATTTTTTTATATTTTTAAATAATCAGGGTAATCGTTGTATTTTAAACGAGGCCATCAATTGGTGTTACAAAAGTGATGCGCTGTGTTCACCATGGATACATTAGCTAACTCGTTTTTTAAATTTACTCGACATAAAATTCTCAGAAAAAATGCTACGCTGCCTCACAGGAGAAAGCATTTCATCTTCTTTTGCTTTCTTCATTTGGTTTCTGTAGAAAACTGTGTATGTACTTATTTAATCTATACATATAATAAAATCGTAACTAAGCCGAATCTGTACATATTTATCTGTACATATTAAATATTTTTTGGTAAATCTTATTGAAATAGATATTATTATCGATACAGAGGCCGAATCTATAGTTTTTTTTTTGAATTTTTGTCTGTCTGTCTGTTACCGCGTCACAGAAAAACCACTGGAGGGATTTTGATGAAAGGTATGGTGATAGCTGGTTATCCGGGTCAACATAATATAGGATACTTTTTATCGTGGGAAAATATCTCATTTCTGAGAAAAAATACAAAAACTGCAATGTAAGAGTATACTAATACGTAAAACCTAAGAATTTGTTTTTCAGTCATCTGAACGCGGGCGGAGCCGCGGGCAATGCTAGTATTAACATATTTTGATATTACATTCTAAACATGCTGAATAATAATACTTTTAAAAGTTGGACCTCAAGAGCAAACTAAGCTAGTCAGGCTTACTATTGCAGAACTTTACAGTTATATTTTATAACGTAGCTGTAGACATAACTTCTAATAAAGAATATATCCATGGTATATGTAGGTTTGAAAAGCATTACAATATGAATAGCTTGACTGGCGGAAGCTTGCGATACGAGCGTCGCGTTTCAGAACGATCTGATAAGTTAAACTAACAAGTAACAAATAGAATGGTTTATCTGTTATCGATTTTCTATATCCATTTTAATGTTTTACTAGTTTCAATTACAGGCATAAAGTCTTATCCGTTATCACTCGAACTGGTTTACTGGTCATAAAGTTTCTAAAAAATTACAATGTATTATGGTTGCGTATATCCTAAAAAAAAACAAATTGTTAATAAAATCTATTAAAAAGAGCTGTTTGTCATAGCCTATGTTCTCAGAATGTTCAGGTTTTAGATTTTTTTATTCATTTCAGATGTGTGCAGTTTGGCATTTGACTCTCACTACATAGATCTGGTTATGACAAAGTGCTGTACTTCCCACCGGTATCTACGCACGCACGCATTGTCTCAGTATAAGTAGAAAGAGGAAAACGTGGTGAAATATATAGCTGTGATACTCGTATGTATAGGTTCTGTCTGGTTGTATCACAATGGAAAGTATTATTACGGACTAGGGTCTTAGGATCGAAATTAAAAGCAAGTCACTTTCAATATAGATGTTTCAATGCTTTTTCTTATACAAGTCACCTAAAATAGTTCATGTATACTCACGGTACACACAGAAAAGCACTATCACTGCATTATACTTTTTCGTATTTATCTTTAATCTTACCTTATATCCGAAATCGTACTACTTACTCGACAAACTGTTTCCCCTTTATATAATACACTAGCATTGCCCGCGGCTGCTCCGCCCGCGTTCAGATGACCAAAAACCAAATTCTTAGGTTTTACATATTAGTATACTCTTATATTGGTATTTTTCTTTTTTTTTCTCATAAATGAGATATTTTCCCGCGGTAAAAAGTATCCTATATAATGACCCGAATAACCAGCTATTATCATACCAAATTTCATCAAAATCTTTCCAGTGGTTTTTCTGTGATGCGGTAACTACATTAACAGACAGACAAAAATTCTAAAAACTATAGATTCGGCCTTTGTATCAATAATGATGTTTATTTCAATAAGATTTTCCAAAAAATATGTAATGTACAGATTCGGCTTGGTTACAATTTTATTAAGTATATGTATAGATAAAACAAAGAACATCCTAGTAATTTTTTTCTAAAATGTTCTATTCATGACAATTTTTTTGGAATGAGTTTTGTTTCTTTCCAATTCATTGCATTTATCAGTAATTGAGAACGCTCACGAAAATATGAAGATTATTGCTAAGCATGGCTCAGTGCTATTCATTATTATGTAAAGACGTTTTACACTTGCAACTACGTAACAGCATGTTAAATAATAACATTGACTCATGAAAACTATAAATAATCCCATTGAACAAACAAATTGTAGCAATCATGGTTTCATATTCCCAAATATTTTATGCGAACATAGCTCATAAATAATATGTACTAATACTTTTGTTTAAAAATCTGTCTGAAAACCACTTAACATAAACTCTATAGGAGTCATACGAAATGGAAAAATAACTTTTATAAGTGGAATATCTGTAGGATCTCTTGAAGCGTTCAACACCTCATAACTCAATATTGTAAAAACTAAAACATAAAATACAGTAAACATAAAGTGCTTTATTTTATTGCCAATGGTTGTTAAGATAAAAATGTTCTTTTTTTACACTAAATCATTTTTTTTAGTTTACTAGTCATTTTTCGCTTCGTAATATGAGTTTTTGGAGATTGTTTTTCAACTTCAATCCTTAAACTTTTAATTCATTACCTTTCTAGATTGTGTTTACAAAATTCCTCCTTAGCAGAAGAGAACGGTCAATTCTTAAGCATAAGAAATACTGAGTTTATTATTAATAATGGGTTCTTACGACAATAGCACAAAAAATCATATAAAAATATTAGAAATTTTCATATACGAAGACTAGATAAAAATTAAATCAATTCAATAATATGTATTATCGCATGTAAATATTGACAGGCAATTTTTTATCGTAAGCATGGTAAATTCTGTTCATTTTTATAGTGTATTTAACACACACATTCAAAGGCAAAATGTTATAATAAGTAGCTTAGACGGCAATTATTACTCTACTTTTTCATTGTACGAGTATAGTATGCACAGGCAAGAAACTAATGTCGCGTTAAACGAGCTTAATGGAAGGATTTTTGATCATATATTTGGTACAAAATCGTGTCATAGGATTTTCCCAGAAACCTACCATATTTCTAACAGTACTGATCGTGCTCATCGCCCTTTCGTCCACCGTGTATCCACTGACACACTGCCGTGTAAGGGTCCGTGACTTTAATTATAATTAGTTGCTTACGTGATGCTATTCAACATTTTATATGTATCTCTGATATTATCTTCAATGAAATGATTCACGTGAGACACATTGATAAATTTAAAGTATTGTGATTTTTGACATACCCTATGGCTCAAAAGTAAAATGTATATAAAGAATACTAGATGATAATCTAGAGAGACTTTTAGCGTGGACTCCAGCTTTGATCAGCTCCAGATTTGAGCAAATATCACGAAAAACTTAAAAAAAAATTATATTCAAATCATAATATAACATGGTAAGCTTTACTACATACAAAAGCAATAAGTATGATTATAATTGGAACTATTGAACACTTGATCGCGAATGGTGGTCGCATACGTTTCGAAGTCGTTGGCGGCTAGCGTTGAACGCATCTGCAGCGTGCTAATGCAGTGCGTGCGCCGCTTACTCATCGCTGCGTTAACATAAAGCTTTCTATACACTGTTCATACACCAACTTATATAATCTATACATATAATAAAATTCTGAGTCGAATCTGTACATTAAATATTTTTTGGAAAATCTTATTGAAATAGCCATTACTATCGATATAGAGGCCAAATCTATAGTTTTTAGAATGTTTATCTGTCTTTCTGTGATAGAAGTTGCAATTATTAGGACTTTATTATGTTACAAATACGTTGACATATGTATAGATATAAAATTTAAAGACAAATAATATACTACAGTAGGCAGGCATCTCGGCAGTGATAGCCCAGTGGTAACGCGCTCGCTTGGGAAACCGAGTGAAGCGGGTTCAAATCGCAGGCCTCGCACCTCTGATATTTTCATGTACGAATCATTTCTAACATGATTATCACATGCCTTATGAGGGAAAACATCGTAAGGAAATTATAAGTTTCATTTCACCCGCTTAAGGGATGATTTCCGGGATGAAAAGTATCATATGTCTTTCCCAGGGTCTCAAACCATCTTCTAACCAAATTTCATCTAAATCGGTTTAGTAGATCCAGAGATGAACGTCACAAACTTACCTCTTTATAATATTAGTATAGATGAATATTAGAATAGATTAGTATTATGATATATGCGAGTTTGTGTTAGCGTATAAATGGATCGAACAAATTATTATATGTGGACACCGCCTTAACATGAACAATAAAGTGCCTTATAGATTTCATTCGCAAACCTTACTCAGAAATGTCGGTACTTACTGTATTAAATGTTATTTACATTCAATCCGATACTTTTTGTAGGTAAAATTCTCTCTGTCCTTATGTAACTTATTATTTGCAAGGGTGCAATCTATCGATCAATTAGTATCACTGGTGTGTGTTGCAGTATCTGATTTCAAGGTTTACTGGAAATGGGATATCCAAGTATAATTGCTGTAAAGTAAGACCTGTCAGTTTGTTTACGATAGAACGTATGTCATTGGTAAACTTGCGGTTGGATGACTCTGATCTTAGAAGGTTATTACAGTATAATTATTTAATTATATAAAACTTGCATAGTATTTAAAGTAAACCCTCACAGAGTGTACAGATAAAAACCCCTCACTTTTCGCTCTACTCTGATCAATATATAAATCTTAATTCAAACTTATTTTGTACTTAATGAGCGCACTTTATAAGACAATTTATTTTCCCTGTAGCCTATGTTTTAACCCACCATCCGAGCCAAAACCTGTTGAGACATTAAAGTACGAAGAAGTTACAAATGGATGCTATCAATCAATCACTAACTTTTCGCATTTATAACATAAGTAGGATTTAAAAAAATCGATTTCTATAAAAAATCGAAATTGTATGACTTTTTAATCTAATTAAAATGATATTACAAGCTAAGCTTAAGTTATTTACTAGCCATTTTAGCGTGAATACACAAATATATAGACCATACACAAATACAAATTCTAATATTAAAAAGGATCATTTCAGCCACCACTTCTTCCGCGGCGTGGTCTCGGGCCTGCGATGGTATGCTGCTCGCGTGGCTGCTGCGGGCTCTCGCGCTCGCACTGCTGCCCATATCGCCCCTCAGCGCCGATGTTATATTCAGAGTGCCAGAAGTCGTGGTATGTGGAAAATTTTGGAAATAGTTTTTTGACTCTTGAAGTTAATTTATATATTTTTTTCTGAAAATTGTTATATACTCGCTATGTTTTATAATTTACACGGTAATAAGACAAAACAGATTGGTTGACCAATAGGTATATTAGATGTTAGATTTTAGTTAAAATAAATTCATTGTTATATTTCTTCGAGGTGTACAGTGTACACCGTACAAAATTTCTAAAGAGGAAGATAACACTTTACTATGTACCTATGTATTACTAAAACAATGTATTTTACTGGTGTACTATCAGAGTTCTCTACGGTAGTCACGAATATCATAAAAATCTGAGGCCATTTAGTTTAAAAACAATACATTAAAATATTTTCGTGAACAATTCTCATTTGATGCATTTATGTGAAATGTGTAAATATTGGGTTTAAGTGCTAAATAAATATTTAAAGGGCAAAATACAGATAAAATCTATACATACTCGTAGTATAATATGTAATTAAAAAAAGTGTAAATTATTGATCGCTGTCTGTAAGATATTTGAGAAAAAATATTATTAAACTATTATAAACTATTATTATCTTAATAAAGGAACCAGAAGAAGTTGTCTTTGCTTTTGTGCGCACTAATCTCAGAAACGGCTAAACCGAGTTGGGTGCGGTTTTCACTAACTTAACATTTAGTATTTGTGGTTGTACTATATTTTCACCAAAAGCAATTACTTCGTAGGTACGTCCAATCTCCGGTGCGAAGTCAGTAGGCATAGGGCCGAGCAACAGCAGTCGGAATGACTCCGAGCGGTGGACTGAACATGAAGTGGAAGTGCAGTACGAGGAGTACTTCGTAGAGCATGAGGTCTCTACTACTGCGGCGAGGCATGCTGCTGCAACGCTAAATGTTGATGCAAGTAAGTTTACACATTATTCCAATTTTTTACCACCGACGCAAAAAAAGGGGAGTAAAGTTTAATGTATCTGTGTATCTGTCTGTGGCATCGTAGCCCGCAAGCAAGCAGATGATTTCAATTTAGTTTTTTTTAAGAAAGTAACTTGATCAACATTATTCTAGAACTATAAAGCAAGAAAATCCTTTCCGCTATTTGCAGGTTATCAAATCTTTTCTGGACGGTAAAAGGATACGATCAACTACCATAAATCTAATCGATTTGAAACCTGATATCCCGTTACTTTAATGATATTGCAATGATATGGTACCATAGGCCTGACGTTCCAGCTTTTTTTTCTAAAGGTCTAGTGCTGTTGGCCCTACTGGACTTGGGATGCAGCAGCGTCACCTGGAATATGCCAGATATATATTTTTTTACTAATATACTGCAGAGATATCCTGTTTCGGCTCATTGAAATGGCCACAACAATTTGTGTTTTAAAATATTAATTTTAGAGTTATGATATTTATAAGTAACTAGCGTAGCCACTTACCCTCGCTTCGCTTGGGCGCGTCCCTCGGTGCGAATAATTCCATAATACATTTGTACTACACGAAACAAATAACTAATAATAATTACCTCCGATAAAATTCACTCAAACAAAAGTATGTTATGTAAATTACAAAAAACTTATTTAAAAGCATGAATTTTAAAATAAGTAGGTATCTACCAAAAGAAAACACGAAATAAAAATGCTACATTTAACTCTACGTGAAACAAAACCAATTGCAACCCTCTATAAAATATACTAAAAAATATAGGTATACATATCGGAATTTTTGATTACCTCAGTACCTAATTAGGCCCCACAGGCAACTTAAAACTCAAAAGAAAATATATAGGTACCTACTACAATAAAAAAATAATATCTTCTGTCTAGACCACCCCCACACCACCTCTTTCCCCTCTGCCAATGCCTCGACCGCTGTTGTCATCGTTATTATTACGTTTTGCGTTAATTTTAAATCTGTAATATGTTTTAAGATATTCATCTAATTTAAATAGTGTGAAGGCCAGTTTTGATATAAATGAAGTGCAAGTTGTCTACAATTTTTATTTAGGTAAGGATTAACACCATCTCAGTAAAAACACCTTACTGTTGTTTTTTTAACAACAACGCGTTGGATTCTTCTTCGTTGGAGATTACAAAAATGCCTCAAAAATGTAATTTTTTTACCGATTATTATTTATATTTACTTATTTTTCTAATTTTATCATTTTGTTTGTTCTTATCAAAGTCGGCCTTGTGATTTCTTTGAAAGTTTACGGATATAATCAATCGTTTCGGAATTTACCATCAATGTCCGTTTTTTTGCTAACATTTGTTTTTGTATTAAACATTTAGTATGACTTTTATACCAAATGTTGTGCATACATACATAATAAAGTTTTATTTATTATAAGTACTTCATTTGCATTGTATAAATTTGTAACAAAAAAAACTTACTTCCATTTTTACCGATTGTTTTCCAAGGGATTAATGAAAATTTATTGAATAAATTTAATCAATATTCCGCATTTAAAAATGTTTTTAAGCTTGAACCGAATTAAAAATGTAGAGCAAGAACATCGATGTCGTAATTTCCTCACGATAAATCTTTTATTCATTGCTTTTTATAATATCGTACTTTAGGCAAAGTATTCTTTTATGCGGGTCTTAAAATAAACCTTGTACTAGTATTAAGATGTCGACTGATTTTTTATATAACTAGTACAATCCGCGGCTTCGCTCGCGCTAAAACTACAAAAAAACTCTAAAAAAGTAGGTTTCATACAAATTTTCATCCCTTATTTTACCCCTCTTATGGGATGAATTTAAAAAAATGCTAAAACACGTATTTATTTATTTGGATTGAAGAGCATTATTACCAATTTGGAAGTAATTCTGATCATAAATAATTTTTGGGTTATATTATAACGTGTTTTCCCGTGGGAATGAGATAATCTCCCGTGCTGAAAGTGGCCTATGTTACTCTCCAGCCCCCCAACTCAATATATTAACACAAAAAATCACGCCAATCCGTCACTCTGCTTCGACGTGAAAGAAGGACAAACAAACAAACACACTTTCACATTTTTAATATTTAGTATGGATTTTGTCGCCATTTATAAAAAGTGTAAGAGTATAAGATAGTTGTGGTTATTTATGAAAACTCTCAAAGCTAGTGTAGTTTAGGAGTACGAAAATAGAATTAGGACGGATTAAAATCGACAAATTAAGACAATTGCTCTCAAGGTCTGTTTCTAGTCGCCGAACATGTAATAAAAACTTCAATTCTCTTTACTTTTTTCAATACTAGCTAGAATATAGCGGCTTTGCTTCCTTCACTTATAACTGACCCCTGCCTTATATTGGGGTGCGTGGAACATTAAGCTTTATACATACATAATATGTGTATCTTTAGAATTATTTGTTATATATTTCTATTATATCTCTATGTAAAACTAACATAATAATGTTTCTTAATCATCATATTTGAATACTAATTATTTGGATTGTTTTATTGCATTCCAAACAATTAATTTTTTAATTGCTTAATATTTTACCAGATTTTGACCGACTTTAAAAAGGAGGCCCCCAATTCTTATATTTTTTTGAAGTGTGTATACTAATTATGTGATATCTTCTCGAATTGTGAATAAATGAAGATTGTCATACTTTTCTTTTATAAGTATAAAAATCAATAAAAACTCCCTAAAGATGGAATAACAACTTTCTTAAGTTGGTTTTTTAAATCTTTCTGTAGTTTTACATTAATTTACTTTGTTACAATTCTTAAAATAAATCGAAATTACAAGTAACCAAATTAATTTATTTTGAAACATTTACATATTTATCTATACTAATACTAATATTATAAAGAGGTAAAGTTTGTGAGTTTGTGACGTTGTAGGGGGTAATCTCTGGCTCCACATAACCGATTTACATGAAATTTGGTAAGAAGGTAGTTTAAGACCCAGGAAAGGACATAGGATACTTTTTATCCCGGAAATCATCCCTTAAGGGGGTGAAAATGGGGATGAAAGTTTGTAAGGGGAATCCAGCTAGGGATGAACCCGAGCGAAGCGAGGTTGAGTCGCTAGTTTCGTATATAGGAGAGCTAGATATTTCTTATTAATAAAACTATAAATATTATTATAACAGTGGGGTCTGTTGTTCGTATGTAACAGTAATTGATGCTAAATCATCCCTGGATATCTGCATAACACACTAGGAAATAAAGAAGATTGAAATCAAAGACTCATATCACGATGTCCATTAATAAAAGGTTTCTAAATGAGTCAGCTTTGTAAAACAGAGTACTTGTCGTAGTTGCTTTAATTATTATATAGTCTTAGCTTTTATTACTACTAATTGCTGACGACTAATTTTAGTTCATAACAATGATCTAAACTTATAAATATAATATAGATCATAGATAGATACTGTAGAGATACATACCTCTAATACAATATTTACATAGTTTTTGTTGTTCTGTATGTTCGTAGCGCGAAAGGTTGTAAAGGCTGGACCAATTTTAATGAAGTTTTCTTTAGAGGATATTGGCCAAAATCTTTTTCTGTATGGCCAAAGACTTTTAATCGTCTTAATAAGGGGAAAATTTGTTAGTAAATATAAATTAAGAGAGATCTTTTATTAGCTTATATAAAAAGTAATTCTAAGTGCTAACTTATTGGCTGTTATATAAATGGCCAATAAAAACCTCACGCAAAAATCAAACCTGTAACTTGCAATTTAGGAATAGCTAGAAGTTTTTATTTGAAACAAAAAATTAAGTCATGAATTTAATTATATATACTAGGTATTTACATTGTAAAATAAAATAAAGTGTTTATTCATTTTACGCTTTGAATTTAGCTTATAAATAATTAATTTACGTTTCGAATTTAGCATACTTCGTATTAACTAACGGTTTTTGTATTAAGACCGTAGAATTACGTATATATTTCGCATAATTGTGCGTTTGAGTGTATACAATTATCTTAAAATTAAATAAATTCCCACAGCCCTTGTTAGTTTTTGCCTTATTGTATGTGGCAGACTTGATTGTTGTAAATAACCTGAATCACATATGAAGGTAAAAGTTAATAGATTATTTTGTTATGTGATATAAACTTTAATATTACTGTTTATTACTTATGATTACCATAAAAACACTTAAATTTATTTCATGGTACTTACTTTGTAGGTTAAAGAACGAAGAAAGAATGTATCAAAACCAGAGCGATACTATATAGTGAATGTATTAGAACTCGTGACTTAAGTCATAGTGAGCAGTTCCCCATATTCTAACTCATGACATATGTACGTCTTATTATTTAACGAAGATTAACTTTTGGCATTATCGTCTTAATTACTACTCTATTACATGTAAATTATCTTATATACGTATAATGTATATTTAAAGTCCGATTTTAATAACTTATGTAAAATTATACTACCATTATTTAATGTATATAATATACAAAAACACGTTTGTTTTTATTGTACCAGTTTATGGGTTTCCTCGTGGGAATGAAAGATTTTCCTGTAGTAAAAGGTATCCTAAATGTTGACCCGAGTAATAAGTTATCATTACACAAAATTTACTTGAAATCGGTTCAGTACTTTTTGCATAAGTAAAATGCACAAATAAATAAACAAACAGACATACAGACAAAAATGTCAATAACTATGGATTTGGAATTTGTATTCTGTATTTTTAAATAAAACTATCTTTTTGGATTATTTCGCGGATTTATTTTGATTTTTGGTTTCCGACGTTTCGGATGCTTTACAGCATCCATGGTCACGGGAGAGTATGTATATAATATGTATTCTGTACACAATAAGTTCCAGTAATTGATTTTAAAAAAATATTTCATGTACAGATTCCGCTAAGTTACTGCTTTATTTCTAACATATTAAATGATTCAAAATTCATTAAAGTCTATATTAAGTACGTGTAATTTTGTGTTTT